CTTCTAAGGGCGTGTCCCAAGAGTGCGTCTCTTATACAATTTGTACAGGTCCAATAAGGTGCTCCAAGGTGTGAAGCGGTGAAGCAGAAAAACCGTTCCCAACGTGTTGCACCGCACACTATCTGATGCAGTATATGTGGGACGTACTCTTGTGACACATCCTAAAGGCCTATATGAAGTGACCACAAGACGTCAGTCTTAGACTTCAATAAGCGATTTAGTTGGGTTCCTCATGATATGCAGTGGTTTATAACATAATGACTTCGGTATCCTGATGTCACATCACTTGACATCGGATTTCGAGTCACTATTCTACGCACCCTGGGGGTAAATTCCGGAGTGAGTGTCAGACCTGATGTCAATCCGCGCTCGAAGGAGTCGCAGGTTGTCACAACCTAACTGCGGGTTTAGAGCACCTGACGGTGCAGCAGCAGCGAAACAACAACAATTTGTTGCAAAAGCGAAATGCGACTGAACTGAAAGCACACGAACTTGCTGCAGCTGGGTTTTACTGGTCCTACATTGGCCGGCCATTATCCGCACGAAGTTCTGAATTGTTGAAATAGTCAGCCACTTGACAGGCATCGTCAATTTCCAGCCTTGGGTCTTCTCGCTAAACCCTCAGGTCTGACACATACTCTGGAAGTTACCCTTATACTATGAATGCACAAAGGGTTTGTCTGTCCTAAGCACGTCGTGTCCAACCCCGGAGAGAAAAAAAAAAGTGCCGGAAAACAGGCAAACAATTGACGATTGCCACACTGGGAGGGCTGAAGACTTCTTCACTTGACAATTCTTGTAAGTACCGTACGACCTTTGGCTATGACCATCCTGTTCAAAATTGTGGTAGACGTATTTGTTGGGTCGTTTGATGACAGGAGTCGAATAAAAGTTGACATGAATGTGCTTCTTGGTGCGTGAGTGTAGCATGGGGGTGAACAATGGGGTTGTCGGGGAAGTGGTTGAGAGAGGGGGGTTAGGGGTGGCAAAACCAGTGACCTAAAGGGGAGCAAGAGCCAGGCCATAAGTGAAAGGGGTCTCGGACAGGGAAAAGGCTTGATAGTGTGGGAGAAATGGGAAGGGGGTTGGGGGAAAAGGATGGGATAAGGGATCGAGGCAGGGAAAGGAAGTCTTTGCCACGACGACAAGGGGACGCGGCACAGGAGAGAGCGGGGGTTCAGCAGAGAGAGGGAAGATAGTAGATAGCAGGGGGACAGCAGAGTGCAGGGGAACACCAGAGAGCGGAAAGAATGAAGGGACAGGAGAGAGTGGAGGGACAAGAGAGTGAGGGATATGTGAGTGTTCGGATAAAAGGGGAAAAGGGGGTGATGGAGCGCTTGGGCAAAATTATGGTGAGGGAAAGGGTTACGAAAGAGAGGGGGAGGGCGAATTGAGAGGTGGTGACAACTTGAGAGGGTAGGGAATCCAGAGACGTGGGAGGGGACAGGACGGGACAGACAAAAAGCCGTACAAACTTGAAACCCAGATATTAGACCCCACTTCCCACCCAGCATTCCCACTCTCCCAGCCCTTTGTTCCCCCTATGCTTGTCCTTTGTATCCCCTCTCCTTGCCATTTCCCCCTCTCCTTACCCTTTGTACCCCCTCTCCTTACCTTGTACCCCCTCCCCTTGCCCTTGTTCCCCCTCTACAAGAGATAGGAGAGATGTGCGGAACAGGGGGGGCTGAGGGAAGGGTATTGTGTGGGGTGCAATGGAGGGAAAATGAGAGAATGGGTGGGTAGGAAATACAGGAATGTGGGAGGGTACATGACGGGTCCTATCTCCCAACGTCCCTATCCCCGACCACCCCCTCTCCTGTTCTGTCCCCCTATATCAATGCCTTTCCCTTTTCCCTCCCCCATACCACGCAGCCTGCTTTTCTCCCACCTTGCATATCCTCTCCTGCCCCCTATATCCATGCCTTCCCCTCCACACCCCCACCTCCACCCCCCCCTCCTCCCACATCCCAGCCTACCTTTCTCCAGCCCTTACTATTCCACTCCCATAATCCATGGCTCCCTGAGCCCTCATTCCGTGCAAGGTTTTCCCCTCAGTTCCCTTGCTCTCATCCCCTCATAAACCCCTTCTAGTTCACGCCACCCGCTCATCCCGCTCTCCTTCCCCCCCTTATGCTCCTCACCCCTCCCCCTTATGCCGCCCGCCACCCCCCTTATTCCTCTCTCCTCTCCCCTGATTCCGCTTGCTTGGCTACACGAGTTCCAAAACTGCCTCCCTATCTCCCATCTCCCTATCTCACTGCCTCCCTATCTCCCTTCTCCCTATCTCCCTGCCTCCCTGTCTCTTTAAATTTTAGGCTCCCTATCTCCTATCTTGCCTCTCTCCCGTTTCGCCCCCTCTTCCCCTCATACCGCCCTCTTTCCCGCCTTTTGCCCATCTTTTCCCCCATTCTACCTACCTTTTCCCCTCATTCCCCATACCTTTTTCGCCCATTCCCCATACTTTTCCTCCCCATCCTGCCTACCCCTTTTCCATTCGCATACCTCGTTCCCGTTGTGCCAGACTTTATTGCTTGGTATCAGAGCCATCCGGGGTTCAATTCTGGGTGTACACACTATCCCAGTGGGGGGGTGTGTCGTGGCACTGGGATAACCTTGTCGATCCTCTCTCTCTCTCTCTCTCTCTCTCTCTCTCTCTCTCTCTCTCTCTCTCTCTCTCTCTCTCTCTCTCTCTAAAGAGGGTACTGGGGAGGCTTTCCCCGGGGAAGGTGGATATATGGAGCCTAACCTTCATGATGCCATCCCTTCTTGTCCCAGTGGTTAGGACTGGTGACTTTATGACACCGCCTACCGCTTTCCCCCATTTCGCATACCTATTTCCCCCATTCCACAAACCTTTTGCCCCTTTTCTGCATACCTCTTTCCCACATCCCGCATATCTCTTTCCCTCATCCCGCATATCACTTTCCCCCATTCCACCTACCATTTCCCCTCTGTTCGCCCATCTATTTTCCATTTCCCGCATACCGTACCAATTTTCAAGACGACAAGTTTGCCGCCGTAATGGGGCTCGCTGCAACCTTTCGCTGTATTGTTCATTAATTGACTCGGGTGGCACGTGTCCTCTGTATGAGGTACCGTGTGATTTCAATTGTGCGCTCCCATTATATGAGAGTCAATTGGGTAGTAATGCATGGGGTTGTCTGTATAAGAGGACTAATTTTTGCTGACTAAATGCATGAGCTCAAACCAAGGGCGATTTAATACTTTATATAGGGATGTTCACTAGATGAGAACCAGTTTCAGGTTTATAAGGTGCCTCCTCGTTCATGTTTTGACGACGGAATGATATCGCAAAACGTGACACAAACGAGGCGATTTTGTGTGGGCCGTGTCATTTGTCACGGGAGGTCCATCTGAAGTTGATGCCTCTCGAAGTGATTCCTCAGAGCGATTTGGGGTTCTACACACGAATGTGATTTTACAGCCGATTGTGCCAGGCGTCCATATGCGAATGCGAGGGAGCGAACGACGCTTGGATGGAGCTGGATGTCGAAAGTACTGATGACTTTCCACCACCTTGACGACACCACCACCACCTCAGCTGCGAGAGGCGACCAATTTGACGTGTGACGTGAGTGTTGGAGTCGTCAATGCCCACATGACGAACATTGTGCGACGCGACTCGGCCACAAATGTGAAAGCTGAGCGATAATTCTGAGGCAAGCGATCATGTCGAGCCGCATTCACGGGGTTGTTGAACAGTTTTTACCGAACCGCGTATCCATTGGAAACACAATCGAGAATTTGTTGGCACTGTTCGGACACGGTTCCATCTGCGCTTCGCCCATTTTTGGGCAGCGAGTTGCTGTGCCATTTTCGCAGAGTGCATCCCTTTCGTCATAACGATTCAAGCGCTCGCCTCGGCTTTTCTGCCGGCCCATTGTTTTCGAACAACCCATCGTGGAATCGGAAGCGTTCGCGAACGAATTTGAGAATGGCCATATTGCTGGCGAGCGAGATGTGACCAATGCAAATCTCTCTCACGTGCGACTCCGTCTACCTTGTTGCAGTTTCATCTCGGGGCGGCATGTGTCCGTGCTTGGCCTTTGAAGTGGACCTCGAGGCAGTAACGCGCGACGCCGTCGTTCATTTGAACCGAACCGCTTGCTCAGCGATTCGCTTGCTTCGCCATGCGATTCGAATGTGGCACGTCGTCCATGCGATGAAGCCACGGCGTGTCAACTCCGACGCCCTCGTGGAAGTGCCTCTGTTATCCGCCGTACGAACCTCTTGGCTGGCAATCATGAGTTGGTCAGATGAGACCCGCCCTCGTACGCTCTTTCGCAGCGTCGCGGGATTGCACATTCTCTTTCGCAAACATCCCAAATTTCTTCGCCTCATTACATTGCGCCTTCGCCAATCCCCCCAGCCATTGTATCCGCCGCCGTGAGGAGCGGACTCGGGCGGCACGGTTGTCACCACATCCCGGCGTTCCTCGCCACATTGTTGCGTGGGTGGCGGAATACAGCAGCGTACAACACCATGCGCAGGCTTTCATATGCTACTGTAGTTCGAAGCGCCTGTTTGGCGCAGAGGTCCAGTGGAGGACGCGAGTGGGTCACTGAAGGGAGCAACACAGGGGGAGACGGAACCCCCCCCACATTCACGTCACTGCTTTGCCCCTTCCTTGCTTTGCCCTCGCCTAGATTGACATGGCGTGAGCCGCGGCGCAGCATGCTGGCCTCGGGTCGCCAGGCATGTCCATCGGAGCGCAGCACGATAGCAAATTACAGTATTCCCCGAAAGCAAAGCAGCCGCCGTGGTGCTCGTGTAGAGAGGTGAATGCGAAGGTAGTTGTCTAGCGAACACTGCAAATCGCAGCTCGTTCGTTTCGTCAGCCCAGTCCATCCCTGTCGCGTTTTCAAACCGAGCCCGCCTCCACAGCCACCAGCGACGGCCGTGAATAAAATCGCGCCCCGTCGCCTGTCGATCTGTTTCGAAATTGCAGCTCCAGATTCAGCACCTCCTTCTTAGCTGTCCCTGAATAGTTGTCAGTTCAAAGCGGTGAACTCTTGGGTCATTCGAGACTTGCAATCGAGACTTCACATTCCTCTCACTCACGATTTTACAAAAACAGGCTTCGCAACCCGTATTCGCTGCTTGACAAATCGGTGCGTAATATTCTACTCGTCCGTGTTACGAGCGAGTGTAAGCCGCTATCGCCTTAATCGACTTCACGCTCACCATCATCGTTACCATCGCGTTCAGATTTGTAAACACGACGCAGGTCGAGCATTTAGACGATGGCGAGACCAGTCAATCCTTCCCAGAGCTACTCGTCGTCAGAGAGCGCCGCAGTGATGGCAATAGCTGCTTTCGTCGACCCTCTCTCAGCCATCACTCGTAAAGCAGTTTCAGGCCCTCTCGCCTCAGTGCAACAGCAACAGCAACAACAGCGGCTGTGCGCGTCTGGCCCGCTATTCCCTGAGGCTCGACTCGCTGTTTCCTCTTACGACCACGCCGCGAATCAGCAAACGCAACAACTACAGCACCTCGCGGGCCCCGCGTCTTCTTTCGCGACAACGCCGCTCGCGGAGCTGTGGTGGGGGGTTGCGCCCTCCGCGGACGCCATGGCCGTGGCGGATGCAGTATGGGGCGCGCACGCCGCGCAACACCAGGCAACTCTTGCGCCTCATCCCGCTTCCCCCTCTTTCGCTCCCCCCTCGAACGCTCCCGTTGAAGGCACGGTAGCTGGCGCGGGATGCTGGGAGTGGGCGGAAGCGGGGGCGATGGCGGCGGTGGAAGACGAGGAAGAAGTATCTTCAACTTACCGGGGAGACGACTCGTGCCCAAACACTCCCGGGTGCAACGGCGACTATCCCGCTGCTTTTGCTGCTGCTATCGCAAGCGGTTACGACTGCGGAATCGTCAGTCCAACGGCGTTACCACCCGTGGCTGGCTTTCACGACGGCGCGGTTACAATAGCGAAGTGCGTGTGTGGTGGGGATGGGTACAGTAGCGCGCGGTGTCTATGTGCGATGGGCGTGCCGCATCTCGCGGTGCCGCAAGGTTTCGACGTGGAGGGGTGGACGACGAGCTGCGACAGTGACATGGACGACGACGTCGCCAGCGTCGAAGGCGACGAGGAGGGAAGCTGGGGGGAGAGCGAGTGCGGGCCGTGCGGGGAGGCTTCGCCGGGTGGCGGTGATAGCTGGTGGTTAGGATCTAGCACAGATTGCGGGAGCAGCGCGTGTGGCGGCGGCTCATGCGCTGTGGCCTGCTGAGGAAACGAAGCATGCGAATAAAGGAGTTCTAAGTTAGAGAGAGGGAGGCAACGGGCTCCAGTGAAACGCTGTCGCTCGTTCGCTTCTCCCTCACGTTACAATCGTTCTTTTCATCTCCTCGAGTCGCTGGCACACATCGTTTCAGCGCTCGTAGCGGATCCGTCGCTGATGGATGGGGGTCATAGTGCATGATAAGCCGTGCACGCAGGAGAAACGAGCTAAGGAGCTGCCCTGGGTTTCTCCACTGTGGCTCTCTAGGTTCACAGCAGGATTCCAATGGTTTATTGGAGTCCTTGGTTTCGTATATGCTTCATGGTGGCTCCTTTGCACACTCGTTGTATAACTCAAAAAACAAGAAAAAACACTTGTGGTTGAACTAGAAATGATTTACAACAACTGAAATTTAGTTTAATGTAGCAGGCGGTCTTACCTACATCAAGGTTGTCATTGAGGTGTGTAATGAGATTTCACCTCACCTTAGTTGAAGCTAAAATCATTCGTTTCAAAACGCACAACGCTAAAGTGAACTCATACGACACAAGAATAATTATGGGTGGGTGAAGTTTTGTAATGTTTGTTTACCCACTCATAACGGAACATCATTCTGTTTGTAACGCACATGGGTTTGTAATCGGGGCAGACCCTCCCAAACCAGGCAGTACACTTCGTCACACAGATCTGAGGACACCATGCTTTTGGGAGGAAACAAGAATCTCGAAACCTCAGGTTCAAAATTAGAAATGGGTGAAAGGTGGTGTAGACAAAATCAGAACGTTTCCACGCGGTATAGCGTGGTATTCTTGCTCGTTCAAGTTTTGAACCTCGTTGGAACCTAAAAGCACCGTGTCCTGAACCCTATGTGCCTACAGTATGTGCGTTACCTGCTGGACTTCTGACCCGCACTCACCTCTCAACTAAACCCTGATCATTCAGACAAGTCTCGAAGCTGGTCGTCCCTGCTAGAAGCCTTTCGCAATGACCGGCAAACGCGCGGGCCGCGGGTCCCGCTACATGCGACGCGATTTTAAGAAGAACCGCCCGAACGAGTGGGTTCGCCAGCGCCGCGACGAGCGGGCCGCGCAACCCGGCGCGGACGGCGGCGAGGCTGGCGGTGCGAGCGGCGGCGCATGGAAAGCATTCGTGCTGGAAAACGAAGCGTTCGAGTCGTACTACAAGGTGATTGGCTGGCTGCTCCGGATCCTCGATAGCGGATGTAGGATATTTAGGCTTGGAGGTTGTTCGCAGGCGCAGCGTTCACGCGGCGTGCTTGTAACGGAGACTGGCTGTAGCAGCCAATTCTCGTTCTCACTGGCTGGCTTCGTTGGGGAATCGTCTATGCGAAGAGCGGCTGGTAAGGATGTGTGGGCTGGCTGACTGAAGGCGCGTGGTGCGCGCGCTGTGCAGCGAACAGGTCTGACTGTCGGTGACGTGCCTGGAGGGATTAGGCACCTCAGAGTTCACCTGCTAAACGGTCACCGTTACAATAGACGGTTTCCGTCGCCGTTGCTGTCGGCCGTCGGCTGCAGCGTTCAGTGCCGTCGCTGGATGGATGCTGCGGCGTCCGCGCAGAGTCAAGGCCTCACAGCGCGTAGATCGACCTTCTCTGTCTTGATATTCAATGCAGGACTACAGTGTTTTTCACCTTCGGATTGCACGTTCACTGATTCGTTCCTTCCGATCCCGTTGCAACCCTGTCAAGGGCAACTGCGACGCTTCCCATGTTTCTCACACTCTCGCTACACCGTTTCCTCCCTCTCCTCCCTCTTTCTCCTCTCCCGCTCACCCTGCCTAAACCCCGAACCCTCGCTGTATCCACTATCGTGGCCCCTGCTCCACTGCGTGCGACGACGACGACGACGGCTTCGGCGATGGCGATGGCGATGGCGATGACGATGGCGACGGCGATGGCGACGGGTGGGGCAAGCAGAAGCAGCGGCTGCTACCGGAGTCGGAGTGGGATGCGTTCGTGGCGAGCATGCGGCAGCCGCTGCCCACCACGTTCCGCATCAACGCCAAGTGAGCCAAGCGCGCGCACCCTCTCGCGGGGTCGGGGGGGAAACAGGGGGAGGGGGAACAGGTGGGCTGAAGGGAGGCGGGAGGGAGGGCGAGAGGAAGGGCGAGATGGGGGGGGAGGGGTGGGGGAAAGGTTGAGGAGAAGGGGGGGGGTGGGGGGGCTGGGTTGGGTGGGAGGTGGAGGCGACTGTTAGTGCGTGAACAGTGGAGGGGACATTGGACGAAGAATGCTGGGATTGTGTGTAGGAAACGAGGGGAAGTGTCGCGTTAATTTATCGTGGCCCCTCTACTCCTCTCCTCTTCGGGTTCATTCCGGGCCTCGTGTCACATTCCGCGTCGGCTCACTCTGTGTCAACGACTCCTAAAAAGGCCTGACACGGACCATCAAATTTACCCCACGCATGCAATTTTTTTCTCCTGTCTGAGGCCTGACCTCGTGTCTGACACGAACTGCGATTTGCACCCCTTGCATCTCCCCTTTGCTTCACTCAAGCTTTGCTGCATATAACGATGGAATGAGCGGCATGCCTTGCCTTGGGCCATCATGCTGCATAAGTAGACTGTAGAGCGAGCATGCAGGAGGTAATAGCAGTAACGAGCTCAAATGTTGGCGTGATAGGATAGGAGGAGAACGCGACCGCAGGCATGCTGACTCAGTCATCCTAGGCCAAGCGTCACAGGCTTGGGCTGACTCAAACCCGAAACCCTGGCGCACCTTGGCAAAGTGGCAGTGACACGCCAAATCTCCCTTGACTTCCGTAACCCTGCATGGTTCCCCCCTTCCCCCACCCCCTCCCCTTCCTCCGCCTCCCTTTCCCCCCCCGTCGTGTCCCTCATTCCTCACCCTTAGTCTCTCACACACACACTCACACGGTCCCTCCCCCTCCTTGGCTCGTTCTCTCCCTTGCCCTTTCACTCACCCCCGCGCGCGCCCGCGCAGTGGTCCGTTTGCAACGCACATTCGCGACGAGATGGAGAGGCACGTGGCAGAGTCGTTCAGCCAGCCCTTGGAGGTACGTACCGCCCCTGCCCCTGCCCCTGCCCTACCCTAGGCCCACCCCACTCTAGCGGATCGGATGGCTACTGCAACTGCGACCACGGCTGTTTACAATTGATGGCAGTTGATGGGGGGGTTATTGATAAGCGGAGTACCGGACGGACGCACACACACGCTCGCTCGCTCACACACACGCATGATCTCTCACTCACAAACACACCCACACACCCACCACACGCTGGAGTCACCAGCACATGTATACGACCTCTATCCCCCTCATCCTTCTACCCCGCCCTTACGCTTCCCCTTCTCCCCCCCCCCCCCACGCACATGGAAGCGCATACTTTCTTTCCTCTTGACGTCTACAGCCCTCCTCTGCTTCCACCTCTCCTCTGATCATCTCCCTCCTTTCCCCTCCCCTCCCCTCCCCTATTTCGCCCCTGCCGGGCGCATGGCAGGTGGAGGGCGAGCGGGTGGAGCCGCCGCGCGTGCTACCGTGGTACCCGGACCGGCTGGGCTGGCACCTCAACATCTCGCGCCAGCAGCTGCGCACGCTGCCCACTCTCAACAGGTGCTGTGCGGTGCAGTGGGGTGCGGTGGGGTGGTGTGGGATGGGATGCGATGGGTTGGTTTGTGATGTTGCTGGTGTGATCGGAAGGGATGTGGAGAGGGAGTATGTGCGCGGGATTTTCTTCGACATGCACTCACCCACCTGCACCATCTATCTTTCCTCGCACTTGATCTCTTTTCTGTCCATGCTTCTTTGACATCGCTCTCTCTCTCCCTCGACCCCTCCCTCTCTGGTCTCCCCCCCCCCCCCCCCCCCTGTTGCCTCTCTCATTCTCTCCCTATTGGTGGATGGGTGGGTGGGTACGTGCGTGTCTATGCCCGCATCTGTGTGTTTCGTTTTCCCCGCTTCTGGGTGTACGTGCATATGCGCGCCCATGTGTTCTTGCGTGTGAGCAGGCTGTTTGACTTCATCAAGCGTGAGAATGAGATCGGTGCTATTACACGGCAGGAGGCCGTCAGCATGGTAAGTCAGGCACTGTGCCCACCATGCACCGCGCACCTTGGCTTGGGCTGCTGTGTGTGCAACGGTGGCGGGGAGGGGGGACGAGGGGGCGCACGAGGGGGAAAGGGAGGGTGAGCAGGGAGTGAGAGAAGGTGAGCAGGAAGGATGGGGGGAAGGGATTGAGGGGGGGTGAGGAGGGAGGTGAGTAAGGAAGTTGGGGAGGGAAGTTGTGGGGGGGGATGGGAGGGACACAGGGTGTAGGGGGGAAGGGAAGGGGTAAGGTGACGAGGGTGGGTGAGGGAGTGAGCTTGGACTTACCTCAAGAAGTGGTGGGGGTTAAGGTGATGGGGGTAAGGTGAGCGAGAGGGAGGGGAGGGGAAAGCTTCTTCCTGTCATCGTGACAAAAAAATGGGGCTTCCATGTTTCGTGCTATCACCCCATTCTATGCGTACCTCTCTTTCTTTCCCTCCCCTCCTTATCTCTGCGCTCCTACTTCCTCTCCTCCTCTCCCCTTCTCCCCCCCTCCCCCGCCCCCCCCGGCCCTTGGCCTCCTTGCCCCTTTTCCCGCGCCCTTCCCTCCTCTCGTGATATCTCCCCCGCTCCTTTCCTTTGAATCTCCGCGCCTTGCCCTCTTTCCCCCACCCCTCCCGCTCATTCTCTACTTCCTCTCACTCAGGTACTTGCTTGTTATGTTTGTTCCTCTGTGTGTGCATGCGTGTGTGAGCGTGTGTGCGTGCGTGTGTGCATATGGGAGTGTGTTTCAGATCCCTCCTCTTCTCCTGGACGTGCAACCCCATCACAATGTGCTAGACAGTAAGACCCCTCTCCCCCTTTTATCACCTTCTTTGCTCTCCATCCCCCTTCCTCCCCCTCAACCCATCTTCCTCTCTCCTCCTTCCATCACCTTCCTTTACTCTCACCCCCCATGCACCTCTCACCGTCCCGTCCAGCACTCACTGCGCCACCTGCTCTCCCCCCCCCCCCCCTCCCACCCCCTTCCCTCCCGCTTTCCGGTGTGTGGTGCACCAGGCTCCAAGGCTGTGCAGGTGCTGCATGCATGCACCACGCCTGGTGCTGCTGCAACCTCTCTCTCGGCCTCTCCATCCTCATCCTCGCTCCCTGCTCCAACGTCCTCGCCCTCGCCCTCTCCCTCTCCCTCTCCCTCGCCCTCGCCCTCGCCCTCGCCCTCTCTCTCTCCTTCGCCCTCTCCCTCGCCCTCTCTCTCTCCCTCTCCCTCTCCCTCTCCCTCTCCCTCTCCCTCGCCTTCTCCCTCTCCCTCTCCCTCTCCCTCGCCCTCTCCCTCTCCCTCTCCCTCGCCCACTCCCTCGCCCTCTCCCTCGCCCTCTCCCTCGCCCTCTCCCTCTCCCTCTCCCTCTCCCTCTCCCTCTCCCTCGCCCTCTCCCTCGCCCTCTCCCTCGCCCTCTCCCTCTCCCTCTCCCTCGCCCTCGCCCTCTCCCTCTCCCTCTCCCTCGCCCTCTCCCTCTCCCTCTCCCTCGCCCTCTCCCTCTCCCTCTCCCTCTACCCCTCCACCTCTGCCCCTCCCTCCACACCCCACCCAACCCCCCCCCACACCGCAGTGTGTGTGGCACCGGGGTCCAAGACCTTTCAGCTGCTGGAGATGCTGCACGGGGGGTGCATGCAACCACTCTCTCGTTCTCTCGTGCTGCAACGCCCTCTCTGCCCCCCTCTCCCTCTCCATCTCACTTCTTCCCCGCCTCCCCCTCCCCCCCCCCCCATCCCCTCCTCCCCCCAGTGTGTGCAGCGCCGGGGTCCAAGACCTTTCAGCTGCTGGAGATGCTGCATGGGGGGTGCGGCCCAGCGCAACTGCCCTCTGGCATGGTGAGTGAGACGCGCGCGCAGGGGGACGGGGGAACGGGGATAGGGGGAGAGGAATGGGATTTGGGAATGTGTTGGGGGGAAGGGGGTAGGGGGGAGGGCGCGGGGAGCGGAGTGAGGGAATGTGGAGGGGTTGGGAGGAGTGGGGAGGGAAAAAGATGTGTGGTGTGGTCTGGTCGGGGAAGAGAAGAAAGGGTTTGGGGACTGAAGGGGAGGAGGAGGAGGAGAGCTCGACGTCAGTTCGGGTTCTTTGTTGAATTTAGGTGCATCCCTTTCCGCTTCCTGTCCCTCGTCCCTTTCCCCTTCGCCTTCCCCGTTTCTCTTCCTCCCCCTCTCCTTCCCCCAATGCCTCACTTTGGAGAAAACACCACTTTGTGGTTTTCGCCGTACCTGGCAGCGGGTCTGTAAAAACACATTCGTTTGTATAACGTTTCTTACTATGGCCTCCCCCTCCTTCCTTAATGCCTCGCATTTAAGGAACATTGGGGAGGGATGACACATGGCGCTTCCTCTCCCTGTTCGCTCCGCCTCCCCTTGACCATTCCCCTTGCTCTTCCCTTTTCACTTCCCCACTCCCCTCCTTCCTCCCCTCCCCTCCCCACCCCCAATCAGGTGGTAGCCAATGGGTGGGACATCTGTCGCTGCCAATCTCTTAGTGCACCAGCCAGACACAGCGCACCTCACCCATCCGCGTCTCTCCTCTTCACCTCCCATTTCTCCCGCCTCTTTTTCTCCCCTACCAGGTGGTGGCCAACGAGCTGGACATCCGTCGCTGCCACCTGCTGGTGCACCAGACGCAGCGCCTGTCGTCGCCCTGCATCCTCGTCACCAACCACGCCGCACAGCTCTTCCCCTCCCTCGCCCTCCCTGCTCCCCCCTCCGCTGCTGCCCCTGGTGCGGGCACAGGGGGCACGGGCGGAGAGGAGGGAGGAGAGAAGGAGGCAGAGAAGGGGAGAGAGGAGAAGGGGGATAAGGCGGAAGCTAAGGTCGAGGAGCAGGAGGGAGGCAACGGGGCAGGGAGCGGGGGAGTGGTGGTGGGGGGAGAGGGTGGGAGTGAGTCGCAGGGCGAAGCAGTGCTGTTTGATCGCATTCTGTGTGACGTGCCGTGCAGCGGCGATGGCACCATGCGCAAGGCACCTGATATCTGGAAGAAGTGGTGAGTGGGGAGGGGAGGGGAGGGGAGGGGAAGGGGGGGTGGGGGGAGGATAGGGTAAGGGGAGGAGATGGGAAGGGGGAGAGGGCGGGGGAGGGGAGGGGGTGGGAGGGGGGAGGGGGGGGGGAAGAGGGGTGGGGGGTGAGGGGAGTGGGGAGTGGTTGAACGAACAATGGCGCTGCATGGAGGGGAGATTGTTACGAGTGGAGCACAAGTTGTGATTTGGAGTCAACACAAGTGGAGACTTATAGTTGACTCAGAGCCTTTTGAGGGGGGTGAGTGGATTTGTGCATATGTGAGCTTGTTGCATGGATGCGGACCATGCCTTTGTTGCCATCTCCCTGCTGACTCGGATGCTGCCGCCATCTGGCATGTCTTAAAGTCACACTCACTCGGATGCACTCTGCTAACATTCCGTCACACTCGCTCAAAGTGGCATGTGCCCCGTCCCACCCACACCCTTTCCCACTCGGTACCCTCCCGTGTCATAATTTGTCTTTGCACCATTGCCTCCCTTTTGCTTGCCACCCCTGTCGCTTCCGGTTCCGTCTCTTTCCGCATCCCCTCTCTTTCTCGCTGTATGGTTGTCTCATTCCCCCACGGTATTTTTGAGAATTCTAAAAAACACCACGGTCCCACCTTCCTCTCCCCGCCCCTCCTTCCAACTGCCCCCCACCTCTTTTCCCCTGCCTTCTCACATCACTCCTTCCCCCCACACCATGCAGGAACACAGGCAATGGCAACGGCCTGCACGCCCTACAGATCAAAATCGCAATGAGGGGTGGGCGTTGGGGCGGGCAGGGGGGGAAATGATGAGGGGTGGGCGTTGGGGCGGGCAACGAGGAAGAGAGGCGGAGGGAAGGAAGTGCAACGAGGGAGAGGCAACGAGGGCGTTGGGCCTGCACCAGTGTTCTCTTTCTTGCCTCCTCGTTTCCTCCTCCATTCATCCCTCCCTCTCACCACATCCCACTGACACTCCCCCCACCCCCTCTCATCCCCCCCCCTTCCCCTCCCCCTCCCCCACTCCCTCTCCCTTCCTTCTCTCTTACTCCCCCTTGCCCGTGTGTCTGCATTTGTCTTCTCTTCCTCGTCCGTGTATCAGCGGTGGCGCTGCTGCGGGTGGGCGGTCGCCTGGTCTACTCCACGTGCTCGCTCAACCCCATTGAGAACGAGGCCGTCGTTGCGCAGGTCCGTGCCACATGTGCCACATGTGCCGCAACATGCATGCCTTCTTTGCTGAATGCCTTGTGTCGTGTCAGGTATTCCTGTCCCATTGCGCTTGACTCCAATGTTGTTCGCCTGTGATCCGTCCATTCTCCTTTTTGAGGCGCCTCAAAAATGATGTGCGCCTGTGATGCCTCCATTCTCCTTCCCGTTTGGATCTCGCTGCTCGCCACCCTCTTCACTCGCCCCTTCCGCTCCCCTTCCCCCCTCCCCCCTCGGCCCTCCCTCTGCCCTTCCCCCCTCGCCAACCCCTTGCCCCCTCGCCAACCCCTTCCCCCCTCGCCGCTCTCGTGCCTCCCCCCCTCAGATCCTCCGGGAGTCCAACGGATGCATGCGTCTGGTGGACAGCTCGCACATGCTGCCAAACCTCAAGCGCTCCCCGGGCCTCAAGTCCTGGAAGGTGGGGAGAGGGGGGGGACGGAAGGCATGGGGAGGCGGGGGCAGGAGCGGGGGGAAGGGGGGCTGTAGGTGTCTTGGTTGGGGGGATCTGATCATGTGGTCGGGGCGGCGGCTTGAGGGAAAGGTGTGGGCATGGGAGGGCAGGGTGGGATAGCTTGCGGAGTGAATGTTTCATATATGGAATTCCTACAAATTTGGATTCGAGAGGAGACGGAGGGGTGTTGTGTTCGATGGAGGTTTGGTTGGGAGTGAATCGATACCCCGGGTGAATCAAAAGACGGAGCTGGCCTCTCCCATCTGGTTGTCAGCGAATCAATACGCCGGATCCTCCCCGTTTCTGCTCTTGGATTCCTGCGTGGCAACCCATGCTTCGGTGCTGTCCCCTTCTATCGAGTACCCACAATGTCTCCGTCTGCCCCTCACCCTTCCCATTCCGCTTTCCCTTTCATCCCTCATGCCTTACCTCGCCCCCTCCCCCCTCTCTTGCTCTCTGTACCTTGACCTACCTCCTCTCCTCCCTTCCCTCCCTCCCTCCTTCCCTCCCCCCCTCTAATCCCAGGTGAAAGATCGGTTTGGGTGGCACACGCACTACACTCCGCGCATTGTCTACCGTGGGGCTGTCACCACCCCCTCCATGTTCCCCTCCGGTAAAGCACCCGCTGCTGCTGCTGCAGCTACAACTGCTGCCACAGCTGCTACTGCTCCTGCTGCCGTCAATGGTGCTACAGCTGCCTCTGATGCTGCCGTTGATGCTGCCGTTAATGCTGCTAAAGATGCTACGCCAGCAGTTGCGGAAGTGAAAGCTTCTGGTACGGATGGAGGAGATGCGGAGGGGGAGGGGGAGCAGGGGAAAGCAAAGGAATTGCAGGGAGAGGAAGGAAAGGGGAAAGAAGATGAGGGAAGGCAGAAAGTGCAGGGGGAAAAGCGAGAGGAGGGTGAGAAAGAGGAGGCACAGGAGGGAGAAAAGGCAGAGGAGGGACGGAAAGAGGGTGGGAGGAGGGAGAAACAGGAGAAAGAGCAAGAGGAGGAAGAGGAGGCAGAGGTGTGCGAGCAGCCAGTGGAGCTGTGTCTGCGGGTGCTGCCACAGCAGCAGGACACAGGAGGGTTCTTCATTGCTGTGCTGGACAAGATTGGCCCGTACACTCGTGAGTAGACCCGACAAGCACAACAGTGAGAGCTGCTAGTTCACGTTAGTTTACCGCACTGTTGGGCGGAGCTGAGGCCAGCCTATCTGCTGTGGTGAGTCGGTGCCCTGAGTCGACGCACCTGGGGTATGCTTGTGCTTGCGCCCTGTGGTGTCTTGGGTATCCATCCAGAAGAGGATTGTTAGTGTCTCATTGCTTTACGGAGTTGGAGGAAGGAAATTGGTTGTGCGCTGGTATGGCTTGTGGCAGTCTCAGTGGATGCATCGCAGACAACATCATAATCAACACTTGGTTGACTCTAAGTTTTAGTGTCCCCTTTTATCCAGAACCCCACTGCTCACACTTTTTCCTGTCTCCCCTCTCCTCCCCCTGCCCCTATGTCTCTCGCGCTCCTGTTCGGCAGCCCCCCCTCGCCAACCCGAGTGGTGGAGGGAAAGGGAGGGGGGAGACGGAGGGCCTGAGGAGGGGGAGGGTGATGGCCTGGAGAACAGAGGAAGGGGGCGAGGTAGAGGAAGGGGGAGAGGGAGGGGAAGAAGAGGGAGAGGGGGAGACGGGGATAGGGAAGGGGAGGTGAAGGCAGAGGGGGAGGCAGTTGAGGAGGTGGGAGATGAGGGGACGGAGGGAGGGGATGCAGTGGAGGGAGGTGAGGCAATGGAGGTGGAGGAGGAAGGGAGGAATGATGCTGACACCGACGCTCCGGATGCCGATGCTCCTGATGCTCCTGATTCCATAAATGGTGTATCGGAGCAAGGGGATCCTGCAGCAGAGGAGGCAGAAGCCGACCCAATGGACGGCACTGAACCCAACACCGCTCCGTCCCCTGCATCCCCTGCTTCACCTTCCTCACCTGCTGCCGCTGGGGCTGGCGACAGCGTCGCAGCAGAGAAGCAGCAGCGGCTGCAGCGGCGGCAGCAGCAGGGGCGGTGGCGGGGCGTGGATCCGGTCCTCTTCCTCAACGACGAGCCCACCATCGCGAGCATCGAGGCGTTCTACGGCGTCCGCCCGGACTTCCCCCTGCGCTCACAGCTCATCGTGCGCAGTGACGCACCCAGCCACAGCAAGAGGATCTACCTCGTGTCGAAGCCCATAGCGCAAGCTATCAAGGCCAACCAGGCGTCGGGGCAGCGGCTCAAGATGGTGTCCACTGGGGTGAAGCTCTTTGTGAGTTGCTCTCTTAGTGGAGGTGTCACGAGTGGGCTTAGTCGATGCATTTCCCTCCTCTTTACCCCCCTCCCCGCCTCTCACTCCCTCCCTCCCCCTGTCAACCCCATCTCCGTTTTTCCCTACCTATTCCCTCGTATAAATCACAGTTCAGTCACTCACCACAGCTTGCCCACAGCCCCCCCATTCAGTCACTTCCAACCCCCCCCATTTCTATTGCCCTTTCCCCCATTCTCCTCCCTTACCTCTCTTCCCCCCCAACCCCACTTCCCCCTCCCCTCTCCTTGACCTCCCCCCCCCCCTCTCTTCGCCCCCCCTTTCGTCCCACCTTCTCCTTCCCCTTCCTTACTTCCCGTCCCCTCTCGTGTCCCCGACCTTTCTTCCCCCAGGAGCGGCAGAGCAGCAAGGACGGCGAGGTGCCGTGCTGCTTCCGCCTGTCAGCGGAGGGGCTGCCGTTTATCCTGCCGTTCCTCACGCGCCAGCTCGTGCACGTGCCCCCACCCGACTTCCACCTGCTGCTCTCCAAGCGCTCCGTGCTGCTCACTGATCTGTCGGAGGGCGTGGGGAAGGCGCTGGAGGCGGCTGACATGGGCTGCGTGGTGCTCGTGCTGGACCCTAAAGGTGTGTGGGGGAAAGGGGTGGGGGGGTTGGGATGGGAGCAGGGAGGGTGGGAATGGGGCGGTGGGTGGGGTGGGAGCGGGAGGGTTTTGGGTGAGAACAGAGCGAGGGTGGCTGGGAGGGCTCTCGAGCCGGCTAATATATGGGCTGTGTGGTGCTTGTGCTGGGCCCCAGAGGTGCATGGGGGGGACAGGGGGATGAAGGGTGGAGCGAGTGGGGGATGAATGGAAGACAGGGCGGTTGGGGGCGAGTCGATTACAGATAGGGATCAGGGAGGGAGACGAGGAGACGGGAGAGTGAATGAGGAGCTGGCAGTGATAGAGACGTGTGGCTGCAGCATCTACGATATCTTATATCTTGTGAATGGCCCCTCAACTCCATGCGGCCCCGGTGCGAACGCCCCCCCCCCCCCCCTTTCCCCCTCCCCCCTTTCTCTCTCCCGCCCTTCTGTTGCCTGACCGCAGATGCTCCGGAAGCAGGTGCGGAGCCCCGGGAGCAGCAGCGGCTGACGGGCAGGGAGGCGGCGGTGATCGTGTGGCGGGGGCGGCGCAACGTGGGGCTGATGCTGTCGAAGGTGGAGTCCAACCAGATGCTGCAGTGGCTCGACCTGCCAGCCTACGCTGTTGACACGACAAGCACTGATGCCACTGCTGCTGCTGCTGATGGTGCTGTTGACAATGGTGGTGGTGGTGATGGTGCTGGTGCTGGTGCCAGTGGTGGTGATGGTGCAAATGGTTCTGCTGCTAGTGCACCTGCTGCTGCTGCTGCTGCTGCGGCTGCAGGAGATGCGGCTGCCACGGAGAGCAACGAGGCGGTTGCATCTGCAGAGGGTTGAGTCTGGGCTTCCAGCTATTGCTGTTGCATGTCCCACACCCATTAGTAGTAGGTATCCCTGGAAGGATAATTTCTTTTGTTGACCCACCAATTTTTCACCCGCTTGCAGAATTCTCACTAGATCAAATGTACAGGCACAGTCGCCTGTGCATCTCCCTTTCTCAGTGAAGCATTGTTTCAGCGAGTACTGTCAAGAGATACGCTGGGGTTGCCCTTGAGATCCTCAGGGAAGGGTCAGTGTCAACAAATATATTTATATAGCTTAGCTAGGTCATATTTGTGCATAGCCTAGCTAGTTTAGTTCTTAGTGAGTTCAGCCCTAATTTTGTATCCCTCGACATTTTCCCTTAGACACAACTTTCCCCGCTACTCTAACATAGTATAGAGCTAGGTTAGATTTTTTCTCCCGCCGTTTCTCACGCTTCCGCCATTACTCCCGCAACCGCCGTTACTATAGCTCCTTATTTTTCGCGTGTGTGCACCTCTCTCAATATCGCGCACTGTAGCCTTCCAATTTCGCGCTTCGTAGCCTCGAGCTCCCTCTAACAAACAGTAAAATTGATGAATAGAGAGAGAGAGTACACAAACATATACCTAAATGTTGTACTCTCTAGAAGATAACCCTATACAGTCTATACAAGCATGATAACTAAACATGTTTGACACACCCCCTGGACTGCATAGGGGAATGTTCTAGACAAGCAGCTCAGGGTGGCACTACTAGTCCAGCCTCTGAGACAAGGGTCTAAAAGACCAGTCAGAAGGAGTACAGGCAAGGCAAGAACTAGTACAGGGCGGCACTACTAGTCCAACCACTGTAAGAGGACACAAGTCCAGTCTGAGTGTACACACAGATATATAGGACAGTACAGAGTCAAGGCCCGAGTAAGTGAGAGACTACAGGAACCAGACCAAGCTGCACACAGTGCCGCTGATGATCTTTAGGCGCAAGCGCCTTCGTAAAGATATCAGCTGTGTTGGCACCGGAGGCTAAGTGTACTACGCGAGCCTGGCGACGCTGCTGTAGCTCACGCAGGAGGAAGTACCGCAGCTGGATGTGCTTCGCTCTGCCCTCGAGTCGAGGCTCCTGACACAGGAGGATCATGGCCCTGTTGTCAGCGTACAGGACCGGGGCAGAGCTAGGCCGCTCACCTAAGTCAGTGAGCAAGAAGGTCAGCCAGCGGAGCTCCTGTGCCGCCATGGCACCGGCGTAGATCTCGGCCTCACAGCTGGACTGGGCAACAGACGAAGAGCGGGTAGCTCTCCACGAGACAGCACCTGAACCAAGGCTAAAGCAGTAGCCCTGGGAAGACCTGAGCGTCTCGGCGTCGTCTGCCCAAGAAGCGTCTGTGTGTCCAGTAAGGACCACTGGCCTGCGTCCGCCTAGCACTAACCCCATGCCCGATGTACTTGCAAGATAACGCAAAACCCTCTTAGCGGCAGACCAGTGCTGAGGTCGGTGCCTGCCTGTGGCCACGAAACGAGCCAGGATGCTGAGAGGGTATGCGAGATCTGGGCGAGTGCAAGTCATCAGGTACATGAGGCAACCCACTAGCTCAGCGTAAGGAGCACTGGGATCTACCGACTCCTCAGGAACTGGAGCGGAGAGTCTGTGGTCCAGAGGAAGAGGGGTGGGCTGTGCGGAGGAGAACTGAAGGCCGAACCTCTGAAGGACCTGGCGCACCAAGTGTGACTGAGTCAGGGTGATGGTGCGCGCGGCTCTGTCCCTGGAGATCTGCAAGCCAAGGTAACGGCGCAGCTCTCCAAGGTCAGTGCAGGTGTGTCTCTTCAGCAGCTCAGCCTTCACGGAGGCCAGTGCGTCCCTGTCAGCAGTGGCAAAGACCAGGTCGTCTACGTAGACGAGGATGTAGAACGGAGTCGAGCCAGCACGAACGAAGAGCGAGGGGTCTGCAGAGGACGGAAAGAACTGCAGGTCAGCAAGGGTAGCACGCAAAGTGTCGTGCCACTCACGAGGCGCCTGGCGCAGGCCGTAGACTGGCCGCCGCAGAAGCCACTGGGTCCCAGGGGGGAAGGTGCCAGTAAAGCCCTGAGGGCGACGCAGGTAGACCTGCTCGTGAAGGCTGCCCTGAAGAAAGGCAGTGGAGAAGTCGAGGGAGTGAAGCTCGTAGTCACGCTGAGCCGCTACGTGTAGCAGCACCCGAAGAGTAGTCATCTTCGGGGTAGGAGCGAAAGTCTGAAAGAAGTCCACCCCCTCGCGCTGACTGAAGCCTCTAGCCACGTAGCGCGCCTTGAACACAGGCGGCTCTCCAGGAGGGCGCTTCACCTTGAAGAGCCAACGGCCATCGACCACGTTCACCCCAGGTGGGGGAACTGCGTCGACGAAGGTGCCGGTGGATCTCCAAGATGCCATCTCCTGCTCCATGGCAGCTATCCACTGAGAGGCCCAGGGTCCCGAAACCGCCTCAGCGTAAGTACGAGGGGTCGGGATGTCGAAAGCGTCTGGGTCACCCTCAGGGACTAGCAGCATGGAACAGAGATGGGGAGCAGCCTCGGACAGGAAAGCAAGCTCAAACTGGCGGTCCTCCAGGACGTCACTGCCGAGGGCAGGAGCACCCCCGACAGACGGAGGACAGGCAGGGTGAGAGACCAGAGCGGTGGCGTAGTCAAGGCGGCGGGTAGAGGCGAAGTCAGCGACCGCAGCGACGAGGGCGTCAAGACTCGACACGGGAACAGACGGGTCGGTAACGAGAGAGGCAAGGACCCGAGGAACAAGAGGACGAGCGGCACGAAAGGAGTCGGACAGAGGAGGAGACGCAACGACAAGAGAAGACGGAGGAGGAGACGGGAGGAGGGGAGGTCGAGACGCGTGGGAACGGAGCAACATAGGGTGAGAGCGCGGGACAGGGGAGACAGGACGAGCACGAGAGGGGCGGCGAGACCAGACGTGAGAGGGCGGCGTCGGGTCAGGAGACAGAGGAGGGGACACAGGAGGGGAACGAGGGGGAAGACGAGCCGGGGACGAGTCTGGCAGAGGGAACACGGGGCCGTAGACGGGAAGAGGGGGAGACGGCAGGAGAGGAACAGGCGCAGGGTCAGGAGACGGAAGGCCGAGCGGACGGAGGGCGGACACAGGCGGGGACTGCTGCTGCGGCGACACAACACCAACACCAGGGCCACAAGCTGCGCGACGGCTACCTCCCGAACCCTCCACACCTGCACCCCCATAAGGGACACCCCCAGAGTCCACAAACGGCGGCAGCGACGACAGCGGCGGCGGCGGCGGCGGCTGCAGCGACGGCTGCGACGGCGGCGGCGGCGGAGACGACGGCTGCAACGGCGGCGGCGGTGGAGACGACGGCTGCAGCAGCTGCGGCGACGGCGGCTGCGGAGGCGGTGGAGGAGGAGACACCGGGGGAGGGACAGACGGCGAGGACTGCGCCGGAGGACTACCAGAGTCAGAAGACTCGTCGACCGGGACGACCGACGGGAGGGGGGTGACGTGAGACACACCAGAGGGGGCCGGACGGGGGGGCGGCGGGGGGGGAGGGGCAGGGACCACCAGGGAGGGAGGAACCAGGAAAAGGGGGGGAGTAACCGGGGGACCACGGTGGGGAAAGCGGCGGTAGAAGGAGACGGACTCGTCAAAGGTGACGTCGCGAGAGTGAAAGAAGCGGTGAGACGGCGGGTGGTAGAAGTGCCAGTCGGACGCGTCAAGGGGGAAACCGAGGAAGACGCAGGGGAGGGTGCGGGCAGTGAGCTTGTCCGTGCCAGAGGCACGAACGTGAGCAAGGCAGCCCCAGACGCGGAACGCAGACGCGTCACCAGGGGACCCGGTCCACAGAAGGGTCGGCGAAACCTGCGGCCGCTGGGGGTGCGGCCACAGGTTAAGCTGGTGAGCGGCGTAGCGCACGGCGAACGGCCACAGAAAATGGGGTGCACCGGCGTGGATCATGGAGGTGCGAGCCACCTCCATGACCAAACCGATGCGTCGCTCAGCGACCCCATTCTGCTGCGGGGAGTCCGGCTGGGTAAACGTCTGGGTGATGCCCTCCGCACGACAGAAGCGACCAAGGACACCTGAGGCAAACTCGCCACCCCGGTCGGAGTGAAGGCGCAAGGCAGGGAGACCGCGGTGGAAACGAGCAGAGACAAGCCAGGGGATGAGAACGTCAGGCACGTCGGCCTTCCGCTCCAGGGGGAAGACGGTGGTGTAGCGCGTGAAGTCGTCGACAAGCACTAGGAAGAAGCGCTCGCGACGCGGCCCATGGACCGGGGCTGGGCCCCAGACGTCCATGTGCAGAGTCTGCAGTGGTGCGGTGGTAGGGGGAAAAGAGGAGGAGTGAGGGGCACGGCGGAGCCGGCCCTCGACACAAGGCGTGCACGGTGGGGCGGGGGAGGAGGGAAACTCGGGGAACGAACCGGGGAGACCAAGGACGAGACCGTGCTGGGACATGTGACGCAGACGTGGGAGTGCAGGGTGACCAAGGCGGTGGTGCCAAAGGAGAGTCGGGTGAGTGAGGGACCGACAGGAGCACGCGGCTGCAACCTGGGTGGACGCAACTACCGGGGGGGAAGACCCAGCCGGGGACGGCGCGGTGTCAAGTGTGAACAGGCCGGACACCGGGTCCCGGGGGAAAGTGGTAAGGGGGGCACCAGTGGCGGCCTCGGTACAGACAGCATACCGCTCGTGACCAGGGAACGTAGTGGTGACGCCAAGGTCCTGGAGGCAGCCGACACCAACTAGGTTCCTGGAGAACGAGGGGATATGCAGACCTGTGAGAGTGCCCGAAGGAACCGCCGGACAGGGAAGGGAGGTGGAACTGCGGGCAACGACGGGACCACCGGAGGGGTCAGCAAGAGTAACTGCAGCAGGAACAGGCAGCGGCGTCAGCGTCGTGGAGTCGCGGAAGAAACACCGGGAGGCGCCAGAGTCCAAGGTGAAGGAAAGCGCAGCAGTCGCGCGAGGCCGCAGTGAAGCGGTGGAAGCACCAAGGCTAAGCAAAGCAGGAGATCCTACGCCTGACGCAGCAGGGGAGTCTACGCTAGGCACCGCTACACTAGGCAACACGGGGTAATAAGAGGGAAGCACACTAGAGTCATCAGCATACATCACATGCAAGGCCGCTATAATGGCATCCATGTCCAAGTCAAAAATCCTAACGCTACGCCTAAGCAAGCTGTGCCAGTCCGGGAGGTCGGGCGCCGGGCCAAAGCGCTGGCGGAACAGGTCGTCCAGGCGACGAAAACAGCGAGGAGTAGAATGACCGATCTTACCGCAAGCGAAGCCGCGGCGAGGACCGGTCTG